AGTTTTTTTCAATCTGTTCGACCTCCTTCACAACCACCCATATGGTCAAAATCCGTTTAGATTTCAGGAGGCAACAGTTTGAAGTTTGAACTCTAAGGTGTTTGAATTATCCATTATTAAACTCCAGTATCTGTCTAGAATTTTGCCACTATAAAGTAAGAGATGAATATAAAATTGCAAGACAGAATCATTAGAATCACCTGCACATGATAACTCATATTATATTGACTAGTGTCAAAACTACAAAAACAGCATTAAACCCAGATGCCCATTGAGGAGAAGATTAATTTAATAAACTGGAAAGCTTGGGTTCCAGGTTCAATGTGATTGCATTGATTTTATATATCAAACTTTGGTGTTTGAGAAAGGCAAGGCATTTGCACATGGGAGATTAAACTTTTTAGTTCACTGATTCTAAGTTGATTTTATATAGAATTAAAAAATGGTTCTCACTTTGCTTAAGTGATCACTAAGAACCTTCAATGGTGGATTAAAATACTGATTCATAATTTTTCTTGTAAAGGTTGTTGAGGTCTCCAAATGATTTGTTTACTTTTTTATAAGTGTTGGGTTATTTCAGTTCTAAGAACTTGACCACCAACATAGAAACAAAAAAGCTCAACCCAACATGATCGTGAATCCTGACAGAAATAAAGTAATTGTTTCCAGTATTATCAAATTCATTCATGTACCTTGTTGATGCTTTATTTTGATACCAACGACTCACACGTGCAAAATGCTAAGTGAGTTTAAAAGTTACACGTGATATGGAAATGTGTAGCAAGAGAGTAAATAAAAGACGGTTTTTAAAGTGGTTCGGATGCTCAAAAGCGATTCCTACGTCCACTATTGTTTTATTAATAGATAGTTACAATCAGGTCATAGATAGCGAGTTGAGTTACAATCTAGAGATAATAGAGAGAGAGAGAGAGAGAGAGAGAGAGAGAGAGAGTATGTTGTTTAGACTAAGATAAGCCAATCCTATAAATGAGAGAGGAGCCCTCTATTTATAGTGGGAGGATTCAATGAAATAATCATGAGTCTGCAGTCCGGTAGGTGGGGAACAATTCCTAAGCCACCTCTCATTGGTTGTCTACACGAGAGATATCCTTAAATTGTGTAGGGCTTGGGCTGGTGGATGACTCCTAGCTACTAGCAAACCTGACATTCACCTACTACACTGACGAGAACCATACCTCTTCTGTCATTGCACGACGTGGCACCGTTTGGACGGCACAAATCCTCCTTAAATTCTGATTGACTCTTGCTGACAATAGTCCACATCAGCCCTGACTTTTTAGGTATAACATACCTTATCTTGAGTTTCTTGAAAATCGAAAGATATAACTGATAATATGACGTAATAAATTTAGAAAAACAGATAATTATATTTTGTTTCGATATTGAGATTGACTAAATTTTTAGGCATTGCAAAACAGAAGGATCACTGACTCACTTAATGAAAATTGATCTATTGTGCTGAGAATTGTTAGGTGCATTTGTTCTTGTTTCTGTTGATTGGAAGTAAAGAATATTTATTTCTTGTGAAACAAAAGAAACTTGATAAAAGGACTAGAGATGAAGGACCGAAGTTGGGCCTAGACTAGAGGCAATAAGGGCTTTCAAGTGACCCCAAAGAACCCACTGCTAGTCATTTTTTCTTCAACAAGAAAGCCTAGCACAGCAGATGGCTGCAGGTGATTGCAGAGGAACATCAGACGGCATGCTCTGATTGGTTTGGCCTGCTCTGAATATGAGCTTTCATTCAGATCAAACTTTGATGAAGTAGGCAGTGATACATTTAAACATTCTATTATCCTAGGAATTTTGAGTTGGTAGGAAGTAACAAATGTCATTCTACTCACAAGCGGTTAGTTGAACGATAAAAACCTGTAATTTATTCCAAATTCTGGGGTTAAAGTTTCCTTGCGAGTATTTATATGGCCATAAGGTCATTGTTTTCTGATTTTCAAAGATTGTAGGCTTCGACTGAGACTTTAGTTTTGAATTCAATAAAGTTTGAGATTCGAGTTTTCTCGTGGGTACCTACATGACCAAAGATCATTGTTTCTTGTTTCTTAAAGATTGTATGATTCGACGGAAACTTTATTTTCAAACTTGGGTTCGCAAACTGTTAACCTTAATAAAATTTCTATTGAGATAACAAAATCCAATCTTTAAAAAGTAGTATTAAATCGTTTGGGTCATTGGCTCGTGCCACATGACCTTATTGTTGGAGTTGCTCTAGGGGGATCACAATCACATCATGTTGAACCTAAAGGACTGTAGAGGTTGTTTCTCCTTCCCATTTTATCACAAGAGAAATAATTCTGAACTCATTAGAAATAAAAAAGAACCATCAAAGCATTTCCAAATTCCATTTTGTTTGATACAAATTATGTAAAATTGGGAATCTATACCAGTTTTGTATTACAAATTTAGTTGCTTTTACACCAAAAATATAAGTTCTCTAATACAATTTATAAAAGCTCAACTATACCCAAATCATACAGGCAATCTTCATTTACAGTAAAAGCGCTTTCTTCATTTCTATGTACACCTCCAAGATTGATCTCCAACTGTAGGTTCTCCAAAAAGCCATTCATGGAAGCACTTCTAGAGTACTCTTTCTTTTGAACAAACACAACATCATCATCACTTTGATCATCATCCTCCGAACAACTCTTGTAAAAGAGGCAACAAGCAATTGTGTCAAGAACAAGAAGAAGAGAATACAAATAAGCAATCAAAATCACCTCAAAAGCAATAAAAGCACTTATTTTTCCTAGAGAATTATGGTAAACCCTTATCACCCTGTATTCAAACAAGGCCTCCATGGCTCCAAGCCCTAAATTTGCAGGCAGAGCAAGCACTAAAACCATTAATTTTTTCCCCTTTCTGAGCAGCATACAATAAGCCTTGTAAATTGCTAAATACCCCTTTGAATTATTCTCCATCGCTGCCACCACTAAAGCTAAATTTCCAATCACCACCATGTTTGTTAGTAAGCCACTGAAAAAAACGCTTCCCAGCGACAAAAAGATAATGCTATCATATGACAAAGCAAGGGAAAATATCAAGAAAGCCACCATTTTTATGGTGGAGATGAGCGCTAAATTGCAAAGTTCAGTTAAGATTAGAGGCCAACAAAGAGATGTGAATGGTTTGTGGGGATTACTTAGAGCTTGAATTGTTGAGGCTTTGGAGATTAGAAGTGAAGCGATTGTGAAAGGGAGAGTGAAAAGGTGGATTAAAATGGTTTGATGAGAAAGATTTTGAAAGCATGAGGCATGGATATTGATGAAGAGAGAAGTGCTTATGGGAGAAGGAGATTTGAGAAGGGATTGTGAGAGAAGGGCTGAGGCTGAGAAAGGAAGCAAAACAAGAAGTGGGGTTGTGGTGAAGAATTGGAAGTGTTTGAGGAAGGTGAAGATTGAGGCTCTGATGATTTTACTTGCAATATTATCCATAACACAAAATGGAATGCAGTTTCATCAAATTTTGGTGGAGGTCACAATATATTGTATGTGAATGGTTAAATCATCATGATTAATTAATTAATTAATTTTGAAGTTATTATAGTCTAAAAAGAATAGTACGGTGCATGTACAACCGTCCAATAAGAGAGTATGTGTCACGCATCCACACTGATATAACACATCCTTATTGAATAGTTGTATGTGTATCGAATGCACGAAATAACTATTAGAAAAAAAACTACCTTTGGGCGGTCGAGTGGTTGGACAAAGATTTTTGGATGTATTATTTAAGAGAGGTTCTAAGTTTGAGTTACATCGACTGCTAATAGGGATGATCACTGAAGAGTTTATTCAATCATTACATTTAAGACCCCAAAAGATTAGTCGAGTTGCATACAAACTGGTTCGGACATCCGTGATCACAACAGGAAAACAAAAAAAAAAAAAAAAAAAGGTAACTATTAGATTTATGACACAATAAGTTAAAAGTTGAGCATAAGAGATAAGGAGAGAGAGGTTGATATTTTCTTGAAGATTATTTTAATGAGATGGGTTTACTTTTTTTCTTTCATCAACCACCAAGAACTAACATTTAACTACCAAGATAAGGGACCAGTCTATTTTCTTACTTGGAATATTGATTATTTCTTCAAATGGTCTCCTCCAAGATGATGCTACTTGGAAAGGTCTAAACATCAAATTTGGAAGTATTTTAAGCCCCTTGAAATTTATTCATTAAGAAATAAGATTGTGATTGAAAATTCATAATTATTTGAACAATATAAAACGCTTACTATTATTTATGCACTGGTTTTGACTGGTTTAAAAACCCTCTCAAAACCAATATAGTGTATTTTTTAGAGGTTTATAAAACACTCCAAATCAAGGTGTTTTGGCTGGTTTAAAAATTTTATCGAAAAAAAATCATTTTCCACTATTATTCCGTGATATACAATAATCCCGTTGTTGTTAAAAAAAAAGTCACAAAATAGAGGACCAAAGGAAAAGACTAACCTCTCTTCATTTTATTCTTCCTTTGCCAGCTTCTTCAATTCTCTCAACAAGGTTTGTTTCTCTCTTTCTCTCTCATTTTTTGTTTGGGTTTACCATGCCATGCTTAAATGAGAGAAAGATCCTTTGTTCTTCTTAATTAATTTGTCCTAGATTTACAAAAGGTTAATCACGTTTGAGATATTGTGACTTTTTTAAGATTGATCTGCCCTAAAATTTGACGTACAATTATTCATAATGTACATAGTAATTTTACAACAGGATTAGAAGGAATACATTGAATAAAAAGGAAAGGAAGAATATGTATGTCACGAAACCACTTGTTTGAAAAGAAATGAATTGATAGCGGTGAACATTGTGAGAATAGAGTCAATGAATTTGAAGAAATATGGTTTACAATATAGATGTACCCAATTACTTTGTTTCATTGCTAGAAATGAATTTGAAGAAAACAAGCCACTGCCGTAGCAGACAAGAGAACTTGCTTGACTTCATAACATACAAATAAATTAAATAATATACAATGAAAGAACTTAGAAATAAATTAAACTTTGAAGGAACTTTGATACTAAATACTAGTAATTGAAAAAAAAAAAAAAAACTTCAAAGTACTGGTTGAAGTTGAGGTATTTTTATGGGTATATATGTAAATTTATCATTTTAAAAAACTGTCAGAACCACTGGAAAATAAACTCTCAAACACAGGTTAGGTATTTTAAAAACTGCTACTAAAAACCCCTCAAAACCGCTACGGTGGTTTACCCTCAAAACCGCTACGATGGTTTACTCTCATAACCGTTATCATAAAACTTTCAAACAGACCCTTAGTAAAAAATATCTTATCACTGTTGGATCTATACAAATTAACAGTTCACAAAAAGTATTAAAAGAATTAAAAATTTAAGTCACAAGATCTTAACCTCCATATGATATAGATATATAATATATAATATATAACCTCTCATTGGTGATGCCAAGCCAAGAGCTTAATTTGGATCATCAATGATCTAATCCCACCAGCTTGTGTTGTGCAAATCTTGTTGTGGACATCACGTAGCATGCACGATGATGATTAAATCATCTAATTAATTAATTAATTTTCAATTGATTAGGGCGAGATATTATAAACTAACCTAAGGTTTTCGTATTTATCGGTCGGATAATAATTTTCACACTTTTAAATTTTTATCACATGTACCCCTTACGTTAACACTTTTTTACAAGACTAAAGTTACTATTTTACCCTAACAATTTCTAAAAGACTAAAGTTATATTTCATCCATCTATAACAAACGACAATATAATGGAGTTAAGGCAAAGGGGTATATATGATATAGTTTCAAACTTTGAGGGTAGAAAAGTGTACAAATTGTCATCCAATTGATAAATTTGGAAAACCGTAAGGGTCTCTTGTTCATCCGAAATTTTGAATGCTAATGACTTGGAATGAGAATGATTTTACAAACGTGACGTACAGTACCAAATTTGTCCGAAACGGAAACATGTCATTCCGTTATTTGTCTGTCCATTGACAAGTCGTTTCTTTTCTAACCAATAACTGACATGTCATTTGTAGAATTTTCTACAAAACAACATTTGCTTTTAACAACCAAACCGGCAAACCCTCCGCCACCGTTGATTTTCTAGCAGACAAACAACCATAGCCGTTGAAAAGCCAAACTCCCTGTGATCAATAATTGCCAACAAGGGACGCATTTGACAGTAACCTCAAAGAAGGCATGACGATGATCACAGAATTCAATTTCGTAGAATCAGCCAAAATGACCCACCCCCTCTTAAAGGACGTCAACTTTGACAGTTTCCAAGTCAGTCAACTTCATCGACGGTGAGAGCCTGAGACACGCCTTTGAAGAGAAAACTCTACGGCCTATAATGCCGCCACTTCACCGTCAAGTACAACTCAAACTTTTAAAAACAGCCCAGGCTAATTCTACCGTTAAAAACGACGGAGAATTTTAGAATCTAGGGAAAAAAAAAAAAAAAAAAATTTGCCACTGCGATTTGTTTCATTTTTTTTCAAAATACTCTTCCTATCCTGAAAAAACATGCATGTTTGTTTTCCCATTCAGAAAATCATATCTTTAATATTCAACTGTTTTAAACTCCATAGATTTGTTAATTTAACTAAACACCCCTAACAAAAAGTTTTATAAACTAACAAAAACACTTCCATCTACCCACATTCATCAGATTCTAGAAACCACCGTCGGAAGATGGCCAGAATCTGGCGTAATGGCGCACTACCACCTGGATCTACCTGATAGTGCGCCGATATGACTTTTTCTGGTAGATCTGGCCAAAAAATGCCAAATTTGGTTGTCAATGACGGCTAATATATGGTCATCATTGACTGTCAACGATTATCATATCTTTGATCGCCATTAATGGGTAAATGTGGCCAGATCTGACCATCAACGGCCAGATATGTGATGGATCTGACTGAAAAAGGTCATAGCGACGCATAACCGACCAGATTTGGCCAATCATGTGCAATAAAACAAGATTCTGGCCAGATTCCGATGGTGGTGGCCGAAATCTAGCAATTGTGGATGGGTGGAAGTGTTTTTATCAATTTATACATTTTTTATTATTAGGGGTGTTTAGCTAAATTTAAAAACCCAGGGTTTTTTTTGTTAATTTTCAAATCCTACCTCGTAATAATAATTCAACTCAGCTTAATAATAATATTTCAAAATACTACTAAAAACAATAAAACAAACACACAAAATATTCTAATTCTACTATTAAAAGGAAAATTGATAAAATGGTTTATACTTTTTTTTTTTTTTTAATAATTATATTGGATGTTTTGAAAATAGAACTTATAAAAATATCATATTTATATTTATGTTTGATTAATACGATAATTCTTAATTTAAATTAGAGAAATATGTTATGTTAATATATCTTGTTGAGAGTCAATCACAGTGTAGATATAATGATGGGTTATTAAATATATCTCTTCTTATCGTCTATAAAACAAATGAATGAATTTCGATTACGATTGTATTATGTGGTTATGATTCTCCATAAATATTTTTTTATTCTGTCGAAAACCAATTTTACGATAGAGACACTTATAACCAATGTTTTAATAACCAATTTGGGGTGAAACATGACAAAGTGGCCAGATCCCGGGTCGAATCGATGACATCAGCATATCTTGAGATTTGAAATCCAACAAACACACCCCTATGATCTGGCCAAATGCAAATCGATGGTAGACTAGTTGGCAGTGGCAACACACTAAATGCAAATCTCACTCATCATTGGAGCCATTCTCTAGCAAATATGCCTAAGATCTGGCTGAAATTGAACAATTTTTCGCAAGAAAAAAAACACCACCATGCATGATTGCCAACCTAGGCCAAATAGGCCTGTTTTCGACATCGACAACCGCTCCCATCACCACTAAAATACTCTCCCTCAACCTCCTGACCAAAACCCATCTTACCCCCTCCCCCCTATTTGCCCTACTAATCACTAGCAACAACCTACTGTTATGGCTACTTAACTTTTGCCTTATTCTATGTTTCACTCACCGAAAATCACCTCCGTCGTCACCTTTCAACTCACTGACACTTCCTCTCTACAAGCCCCCAACTCACTGACACTTGCTCGCGAATTATGGTCGTCTTCTTTAGGGTTTGCTTCTTCGTGAATATTGGGGTTTTAAAATAGTGGACAAGGGTGACTTGGCTCGGAGAAGGCCCCAAGTCTCGATTTGACTAGGTCGAGTAGGGTCAAGTTTTAAAATAGTGCTTATAATCTCCCCCTCTATGCCTTGCGTAATAATTCATTTTAGCATTACCACCTTTACCACAACAATATTGTCCATTGCGATTTAATTAACTATATATAAGAGATTTATGAATATTACTAAGTGAAAAATTATTTATATTATTTAAAACACCAGTTACATTATTTACCCAATAACTCACGGAATCATTTGTTTGAAGCCAACTGTTAGAACATCTCCAATGGTGTTCTTTATTTCAAAGAGTATACTTCACATAAATAAAGAACACATTTATTAATTTCTAAATTAAATAACAAAATTTGTATTTAAATCCAATGAACTTTTTAAATTAGACTTAATAAATAAGAGATGCTTATTAAAAGAGAGAATTAATAATAAATGTATAAAAACTTAAATTTATTAAATACAATAGGGATAGAGAGTGAAATTTGACTTTCAGATGTAGAGAGTCAAACTCTTTTAATTTATATTAAAGAATAAAGAGTCTATTGAACTTTAGTGAGTATATAAAAAGTCATTTGGAGATGTTTTAGGTTATTTTATTCTTTTATAATGAAGGGCATTATAGTCATTCAAAATATGGGTTATTTTTTTAAAATCATCCTACAAACAGCCCGCCTTTGACTCATAAAATTCTTACTTCAAACTTCGGCTATCTCTCCGTCCGTCGTCGTCTCCGCAAGCCAAAGCCACACCCTCCACCGACCACGACGTTCCGGTGAGTCTCGCCATTCCTCGATTAATCTTTCATTATACTTTTTCATCCTAATTTTATTTTTAATCTGTTTCTTCGTGTTATGGCTATATGTTCTTCATTTATAATTTTCATCAAATCTTAGCTTATGGCGTGTTTGACAACTATAGAAAAGCAGTTTTCTGTAAAATTATAAAATTTTACTTACTTATAAGCTGAGTGCCACTGTGCCAGCAACTCCTATTGGCAAAATTTATAATTTAATATATTAATTTGTTTTTAATTGCATAATTGATTGTTCATAGCAAAAAAAAATTCTTGTTTAGTGGAAACTCAAACTGGTAAATATATTTGAATACTCTCATTGTAGATTACGTTAAAAAGAGGATGAGAATATGGAAATGCTTTGATTTGAAATACTTTGAAATGGATGCCAAGCAACTTGAATTATTGTAATATAAAGCGAATGAATTTATTTGAAGAATAACTAATCAGTCTATGATCTTAACATCTTTCATACCTTACGCGTATAGATATACTTTGACACCATTACGCCTGAGATGAATCTTTTTCTCCCCCAAATTCTGGTCGTTACATTGTGGCCGCTTCTCTTCTTGAGAGCAAAGGCAGATAGACAGACATAGATATTCAAATATAGATATTCGAATTGATATCTTCCATTGCTCACTAACTCTTATCTACTCTCATCTCGATTCCTTCTGTGGGGATGTTCAATCATAAGTAAAAAAGGATCCTATTTTCCGTGATGCTAGTCCACTTGTATAACATATAAAGTGAAAGAAAAAGATCTAGATCAAGCTATTAACTAGTCTTAAGAGATTGTATCCCATTGATTGAAGTCAGTCAGTAACAAGAATACCCTGTTGTTTAGATTTCAGAAACAATAGGAGATAATTGGGGTTCCCTTCTTCCTTCTTAGGTCTTTCTTTGTTGTTTGCTTTATATGTTTATATTTTTATTTGACTTACTATGTTTGTTTGTATTTTGCTTTTGTGAATTTTCGAATTTGATTTGAGTTCTGAACAATTTGTTTGTTTGTTTGATTTGGATTGAAGGCTTCAGGATTTGGTGTGTGATTCCCTGGGGATAATTATTAAGAGTTGGTTTTAGGTTGATGTGGCATCTAAGCGCAATGGTCGTTTGAAAACTTGCTACCGATGATTATGATGATGTTTATGATGGTGATAGGAGGCAGTGATATGATCCTAGATTTGATTATTCGCCAAAAGCCTTTGAAGGATCCTATGGAAGCAATTGCACTCGCATTTTTCTTGCTTTGTCTAGGATCAGTGTTCTTTTTTCTTCTGTGTTCATTTTCACTGGTCACCATGGGGGGGAGACGGCCCAAGCTTATGGCCTTTTAGTCCTTGGAATTCTTACATTCCTCCCAGGTAAATGTGCCTAATTTTTAATTTTTGCTATATTTGCCTCTGGACTTGATGTCTAATTTTCTTTTTGTGTATGTCGAACATGTTTAGCTGCGAATGGAATCAGACATATGATTAAAGAAGCAAAGAATCTTAAAGGGCCTGAATATATAGATAGTTTTATTATTATATTAGTTGTAAACCTGTAGGCTGAAGATCAATTGGCCTGTCTTCAGTTGCAGCTCATGGATGTCAGACCATTTATATGAAATTGTATTTAATGCTCTCTTGATATGTGTCTGTTAATTGATGTGGAAGGCTAGATAGCTTTTATGCATCTATATGATTGATTTGTGCCCATTTGGAATAGTTTGGTTTCTGGTATAGGCCCTCATTCGGCATTCTTGTAATGTTTAGCAAAAACAGTTTAGTGAAACAATAATGCTTACTACTCACGAGTTTACTAACTGTTTACTATCTTTGTTAAAATTACATATAGTATCCGTACTATGCGTTATATTTACAAAGAATAGTAAGATGGTTAGTAAGAGAGTGAGTAAGCATAGCATTACTCTTACTGAAAGGGTGTGTATAGATGTAGAGAGGTGTATAGTGAAAAAGGTTTACATTTTTTTTTCAACCATCTAGTGTTCTGGTGAAATAGGAAACTCTAAAAATTTGCCCAAAAAAAAAAAGTCAGAGGCTATTTATGGATAGAGTATAGTTCTTTGAAGAATTAAACCAACAAAATTGCCAGTTCTGGATTCCTAATTATGTTTCAGTGTCTTTTCCAACATGCACTGTTGTATGATGCACTTGTCTTTTTGGAAGAAAAGCGCTTTGCGAGAAATTACTTCCCAATCCAATACACTTATTCAAGGTTACCGAGCCATAAAAGCATTATAATTGAAGCGTTGGAACTCTTCAAATTGTACTCTGACTTTTCTTAGTTACAACTCTTTTTGCGTGCTTTGCCTCGATTATGTCTTGAACGAGAATGTTAAGTCTACAAATGTAATAAATAGGAATGACAACACATTTCTGACCTCAAACATCATCGCATCACGCCGATTCAAAATAAAAAACACTACAATCACTAACGAATTTTACTAACCAGCATACTAACCTAAAGTATGTGCGGGTATATACGCATAGTACGGGTACCATATGAATTTTAACAAGGTTAATAAGATGGTTAGTGAGAAGTGTTAGTGAGTGTAGTGTTACTCATTCAAAATTGTCCTATTATTCTTTGTTCATCCATCCATTCTCTGATTTTCTATTCATCCATCCATTCTCTGATTTTTCTCATTCATCAACATTTAACTATCATACTTGTACTCTAGGGCGAAAGTGTAGTCTAGTTCGAGCTTTAATATTAATTATGTCATAATTGTTGGATTGATTTGATCATACATATAATCATCATATTAGGAATAATATTAAGTCCACAATCCTCGACGTGACAATTTGTTATGATTAATTTATAAATGAGTTTCGCTTGCTTGTATGGTTCTTGTTTGTCTATATGCGAGCTAATGAATGACGAGTTACCATGTGGAGGTTGTGAAATTGAGTTAGGATCTAACAAAACTCAATACTAGTCTTTTGGTTGAAAGTCTAGTCTAGTATGTCACAACATCTTAATATTATTATGTCATAATTATATTTAAATATTATCGGATGATCTAATCATACATAAACCATTATATTAAGAGTAATGTTAGGTCTACGATCCAAGCTTACTACCCTCAACGTGTCAGTTTCTCATTGGTCAACTCATAAAATGGGTCTTGCTGCTTATATAGGTTCTACCTGTCCATTTGGAACTAATCAATGACGAGTTGCTATGTCGGAAGTTATGAGAGAAGGTTGTGAAATTAGGTTGTGATCTAGCATTACTTATCATTTAGTCATTCAGGTCGAAAGTCTAGACTGTGTGATCACAACGTCTTAATGTTAATTATGTCATAATTATATTAAATAGTGATCTCATCATACTATAACAATCGTACTAGTCCTTAGGTTAGAAGTCTAGTTAGTCACAACATCCTAATATTAATTATGTCATAATTATACTTAAATATTATCTTATTGATTGGAATATAGTATTTCAGTATAATTCCATCCGAGTAATACTTTTAAAAAATGGATTTTATTAATGCAAATCTTATACCCAGTATTTGACAACCAATTTTGTATCTACTAATCTTGTAAAAAATCTCAAGTCTCAGCGAACATAAATTAAAGCACTTTTATCATTACAAATTTGAGCTCTCACAAATCCGAATCCTGATAATCAAACAAAACTGGAAATCCAAGCAGGATGGTTGTCAATACATCAAAATGAAAGGGCAAAAAAGTTATTTTGTCATATGTTTTAAACACATAAATAAAAACGATAAATTTTCGTTCGTTTTAAGCGTCCTCTCTCTCTCTCTCTCTGTAACTCCCACAGACAAAAAGGAGGATATATTTTTATGTATTCAGTTGAAAACTAAACAAAAATATTTTTTTCCCTTAAATCTTGTTGCGATTATATTGCTATTATCTCATGGCAGTAATTAACAATTGCATAATTTAATTCACTCTAAAATCCCCAAAAGAAAAAAAAAAAAAAATCTTCGACTGCAGTGTTTTGTAATTGAATCGTTTTAATTATTTTCTATTTTTCAAGCTTTAATTTGAAGTTTAGAAGCTCGATTTCGCTCGGATTCCCGCTCTGTAAGTTCTTCTCTGTTGATTTGATGTGAATGTGAAGTTTGTGTGTTTGTCATTTTGTAGGTTTGATTCGATGTCGCTTGGGTTGGCTTGAGATCTGTTGTTTAAGCTAGGGTTTTGTTGAATTTTTTTTTGTGGGGGGGGTTTGATGAAATTGAGTTGGTATGCTGTAATTGAAGCTCGTTGACTAGATTGTGGCGAAAGATGTTTACTTTTGTGGTCTTTGTGGGATTGATGAATCTGGGGTTAGTTGTTTATTAGGGTTTATTATAGTTGTACGGGAAATTTTATGGTTTAAAATTTCGTTTTCTGAAAAAGCACTGTGGTACTGACCTGGTAATGTTATCAAACTAGTTACAGAGCAAAAAGGAGTTTATGTTTTGGTTAGTGAATTTGTTGATATTGTTCATGTTTTTATACTGAGGCGTTGACCGATGTAATGGGTTAAAGAAATGTGTTGATCCGATGTAATGGGTTAGTGATCTGATAGTTCAGTTTAGTGGACTTTGTTGATTCTTAATGGTATTGGGGTTTTACTTAATAAGTTTAGCTTTTGGTGGTAGAACACGTGGTTGAAATTTAGCTGCACCCATCTGGTTATAAGAGGTGAATTGGGTGTTTTCTGGGGAAATATGAAGTTTTTCTACCGAAGATTGGAGTACATCAGCTTAGAAATAATATTTCTGTGACTGAAAATTGAATCAGGTTTTGAAAAATGTGTTGGTTTCTTGGGTTGCTCAACATGAATGTTTGTGAGGAACTTTATTATTGGATGTGTACAATGGAAGATTGGGAGTAGATCAGGTCAGATGTATTAAGTTCAGTGTGACTGAAATGAATGGGTTTTGAAAGATGTGTTTGATTCTTTGCTTTTGTTAACATGAATGTTGTGAGGAACTCTAATGATTTCATGTT